AGACATTCACAATTCTTCCCTCCCTTTCTACCATTAATCCTTCATGTTTTAACAAGCACTGAAGTTAATACAGCCTACACTCTTTCCTGTCACACTGGGCCCCCCTCCCTCCTTTCTTTCCCTTGAATAAAGCAATCTGTTCTTTCCAGTCCATACTCTTGTAAATCAAAGGGATAGATGTCAACACACACCATAACCAAGTATAAACTTCCTTTTTTTAATTAAACAGGATTTTGACATTTGGTTTCAAGAAGTGTTTCTTTGGTTTTATTTTTTATTTTTTTTTTAATATGTGAGGGATGTCAACTGCTTCTATTTTATTTTCAGTAGAAGCTGAATTTTGAATGGTACCATAGATAATTTCTTGCACAAAATCTTTCAGTTGCTATTTTGTGGTTCAATAGGAAATAATAGGAAAATAATACAGAATGTCTTGTAGTTTTAGAGCTTTACAGTTTAGGCTAACATTTCTGCTGTAGGTTTCCATACATGGAAATCATCTTCTAGGTACCATTTCAAACTTAATTGTGAAAAAAATGTATTTTTGTTGTTACACTCTCTGCCATTTATTTACTATTGCATAACTACTAATCATACTTAGACATTTGTGTGAAACAGAAATATCCAGAATTATATCTGCTAACGCTAACAACAAACAAGATGCTTGGAAGGAACATACTCTCTACTCTCTGTGTACAAATCCATGTATCTTAGCAGCCAGGGCAAAGTCAACAAGTGGAACCAGTGTTCTGATCTGATACCTCTGCTTTTCCATGTTGATTCTCAGCCATTAATCTGACAAGAATAAAGGACTTTATTTAGTATCTCAGTTCTCTTTCACATGTATTTGCTCAGGTAGAAAATATATACAGGACTTTCCTGAGTGCCTGCTGCAGTATAACTTAGTATTTTGGAGGCTAGAAATGCCTGTGAACTCCTCCGATCACTTCTTCCCACTGACAGAGTATTGTTTGGGGATCCATCTGGTGTCAAGTGCAGGCATATGGCACCAGTATGGCAATGCTGCCTACGGGGGTGGTTTCCTGCAGAAGAGGTCTCGCTGTTGCTGGCTATTTAAAGTCATTATTGTTTAGCACCCAGGTCTTTGTGAACTTGTTCAACTGGTGGCTGGGCGGAGTGCCATCTGAATCTACGGACATGAGCACAGACAGCTGAGTCTCTGGGGCCTTGCACACATCAGATGTGGGTACTGAGGTCAGGCTTCTCAGTAAGGAAAATCTAAATGAGTGTCTGTCCTAAGCTTGTGTATCTGTGGTTGAAGGGATATGCCATCATTAATTCAAATCTGGGCTGGATTAAGCTTCTAAAATAAAAAACAGCTCTGCCAACCACTTGAAGAGGGCTTGGGGCCTGTTTAAATTGAGTGCATTGGCATGGATGGAGGGGATGATGGCGGCTGAACAGAGCCATTAGCCTGTCCCCTCTACAGCACTTCTTTCCACACAGGGCAAGACAGCCATGAGCACAGGTCACCAGAACTGCAGGCGTCTTGAAGGGCTGGACATTTATTTTTCTCTTTGCTGAGACAAGAGCAGAGCCATGTTTTGCTTTGTTTCTGAAATTACGGTTTCAAATCTCAGTGTGATTCACGGCACAGAGAATTTGGAAAAATGCAGGTGACCAAGTACTGGGGGTTTGCTTGTCTCCTAAAGGTGCTGACAACTTGCAGACACAGGTGTACTGTGGTGCCTAGGAAAAGATGACACTTTTGTCCCCTATTCTACACTGTGGCACAAAACTCCCCAGGAAATTTCCTTGTGACATAAAATTTATCTATGCACTGTGGCCATGTACTGTGAAATTACGTACTTCTGTCCTCTGTGCATGAAGCATAGAGCAGGTAAAATATAGCCAATAGGAAGACTGGGAGGCTTTACTATCATTACTGGAAAGGGCTGTGAGGTTTCCCTATAAAGATGCAGGAGAAGCACAAAGAAAGATAGGCAGTTGTTTTAAAACCCATCCATGTGCTGGTTCCTGCCCCTTTGAAGTCAGTGGCAAAATATTTTAAGCGAGCAAGACTGCTTGAATTTGCAACCAAGATTCAGCCCGGAGGCAGAAGAGGCTTAAGGGAATGGTTTCTGTTGCTCTCCTTGAGCACAGAGCTGTTCAGACAGACTGGAGACCTGTCCGCTGCTTTTTCCTATTAAGGCTAAGAAATTAATGCTTTTAAAGTTCTTAAATGAATGGGCTGGATCTTACAGCCCTTACTCATCTGAGTACTGACATTAACTTTAAGAAAACAATCACTTTATTAAATGCTATGGAGTGGAGTCCTGAAATTGTTAAATTCTAATATTTTACAGAAGTTCTTCCTCAGTAGAAAAATAATATCGACATAATTAAAAGAATGTGAATATTTCATCAGTTGAAGAATGCAAGTTACTTTGGAATGACACGTAAAACTTGGAGCAGTGCAGAGGGCCCAAGTCCATGTCATGTCTGTAGGTTATTTTTGAACTTTATGAAAAACACACTTTAGCAGTTTATATCCTGACCATTCAGCTGTATTCTGGGATTCTGAACTCAAAAACATTCTAACCATGAAAACATGGCATTTAAAAATACTGTCCACTTGGCTTCTTTGCCCAGCTTCAGAGTCTCCCAAGTTTGTTTCAGACAAACTGAGAACTTTGTTGTGGAATGACTGTTTGAATTGGGGTTTCTTAAAATACATATGGAGCCTTGTAGCTGCTGTGGGGTGTACACAGCGGTGTAGCTGTACTATTTTAAAATCATCTGGGTATTTGACTTCATGTAAGAATATCTGTCAGCTTAGTTTTAAGGAATGAGCAGGGTTGATTAAAACAACTCATGAAGCCATTAAACAAAGAGATAAAATGTAGAACATGTGCTGTAGGGTCATTTTAATTATAACGTATGGGGGATCTGTGGAAACTGGATGGCAGCTGCGTTGTAGCAGAGTTTTAAATCTCTTAGTAGCACCAAAGTACTGTTACTCAAAGATATTTTTTTCTTATCTATAAAATACATCCCTTGGAAATGATACTTGGGAACTAGCATTCTTATGACCATAGTGTGATTACTGTTCTTAAGTGCTTAGATAGATAAAGGCTGAAATAAACAATTATATGTGGTCACTAGATATTAGACTATATAACATCACATAAATGTATGAAAAGCTTTAGTAGAGAAAGGGAACAGAGATGCCAAATGAATACCCCTGAAAATTCAGAGAGAATAGGAAAGAAAAAGGTAGTAGCAACTTATTTCATCATCCTGGCAATTTTATTATTTTTGGCCTTATTGGGTCAAAAATACAGGGTTGAATATATTGCTGTATGATGTAAGTATTTCTACTAGGTTATTTTAGCAAAAAAAAAAATCTGGCTTGAAACAACGGATATCAGCCAGCCACATGAATTCAGTAAAAGCTATTTAAACAGCACATTTTCCTTTATTCTTATTAACCTAGTTATAAACATCAAGAGTTGGCATAATTAATCCCAATCCTATTGGAAAGGTTATTAAATCTCCACTGTATGAGCTGAAACCAGTCTCTAGCTACTAGATATCATGACAAGGCATAGTAAGGCAAAATGACCACACATCTGCCCACGTCAAAGTTTTTATAACTCCAGCCGTCCCTGCCAGAGACAGAATCCTCAGCTAGGTAGACACTGGGTCTAGTTCAGTTTGGCAGCTCCTGTATTCTCAGTTCAACAAAGTTTACTTAAATGCCTGCAATGTTTTTTTAATGCAGCTGAAATATATTAATATAGTTAACCCTTTGTCACTGAATTCAGTGGATTCACATGTAGGTATATCACCATTTCAAAAGGTCCAGTCATTAAACTACAACAAAGGCTGTTATCAAAACTGGTTGGAAATGATTGGAAAATGAGATTTTAAGAATGTGCCCATTAACAGCGAAGTTAACTTTCTGCAGTTGCCATAGAAGTTAAAATCTTTCTCTGTGGTTTGTAAGCATCGCTAAAACTGCCATGGAAAAATGACATTTGCTTCTGTTTGCAAACTGCCTTTATTAGTATGTGAATTATCAAGAAATCATGCAAATACTGTAACTTTTGCTTTCCAGTTTGCATGAAATAGAGAAAACATCCAGGATCAATTACATAAAAATGAGAAAGAATTCCTTGAAAAGAGAATGGAGGACCTGAAGGAATTACAGATTGTTGCTCTTGGATGTAGCTCATTGGCAATTAAAGGTTCTGGAGATTGTTCCCTTGAGAACTTCAGATGTTGTATGTTATTTTAAAGAGACTTGAAGGAGGCAATTGGGGTAGATGCTCATCTCCATGCTGGCCTGTGGAATACTCTCCCAGATGGCCAAGACAAGTGTTATACCAGTTTGGCTCCTCAGCATCCCCAGTTTAAAGAAAATGTACAAACACAACCCAGCTGTCATTACAAAGATGAAGAAATGCCTCTGCTCAAACTATGTACAGCAAAGTGTGAGTCGCTCTGTTATCAGAAGAAGACCTTTCTGTGGCAGGGAAGTCAGTCATTGATTCAACAAGACATTGCTCACTGGGCAATGTTCTCACAGCACCACACCTTATGGTACACTTTGTGTGGCCTCTCACAAAACTCATCTGAAATTATCCGAGAGTTAAATGTTAGGAAAGCAATATGGGAAGCAGTATCCCTGCTGGGAAGTAGTGGGCCAGGAGCCTCTCTTGGATTGAAGTCCTCATTTTTGAAAAGGAAATGTAGCACTTTCAGTTCAGTGTCATGGAGAGGTTCTTAGCATCATTCTGAGACTTATCTTATGGTTCATATTTTCCTTAGGACCAACGGAATTATTCATCTTAGGATCAGAATCAGCTCCTTGCGTGTGTCCTGTTGGCTTTAGCAGAATTACTGATGTTCAAGGAATGTGAATAAGGGTCATGCACTGATTCTAAAATTCAAAATACTAATTGCAGCAGGAGGAAAACTGAACAAGACTGATGAAAGTAACCTCTCACTCTTCTTCTCTACCTGTTTTACTCCAGTCCTCTGTGATGTCTGTCTGTTTTGCCCGCTTTCACCCAAACCTGGTTGTTGGTGGAACATACTCTGGCCAAATTGTGTTGTGGGATAATCGCAGCCACAGACGAACTCCTGTTCAAAGAACTCCCTTATCTGCTGCTGCTCACACGGTAAGGACAAAAATCACTTCTTCCCTTTCCTTAGAAGAAATAATCAGCAGAGCAGCGAAGATGTGTAGTCATGTCTGCAGTGCTGGTTGCTACACAGATAAAACATAAGTGTGGCCCTTGAAAAGAAAGAAGTGGATGACAGAGGTGTACAACTACCTCCTGTGTTAAGCCATTCCACTTGATATGGGCAGGTCGGGTGATTGTCCTCCTTTATGATGAAGATGACAGGAGCAGTTAAAACATTCAAATGAGGCACCTATGTGATTCTTGCTCTCCATTGCCTGCCCAAGTCAGGTTACTGTAGGGACTGTGTGTCTGCCAGTCAAACATGCAGGCAATTTGAATCATTTATTGTTGACTACTTGTGCAAGAGTTTGTCTCTTGAAACAGATTAAGCACCTGCAATGATCTAACAGAGTTCTGATAAGTAAACACTTGTGCTTTTAAGAGTGTGGAGCAACTGCTTTTGTTTTACAACAGAGAAATCCCTTTTCCAGCCTCCTATTCCAGACAAGACCATAAAGCAGAGCTTGTAGACTGAGGAGGAGTTTGTTTCAACAGGATGCTATGGAAATGCATTTCAATGACACACAAAGATATCTGCAGATATAATGATAATTGCACAGGGCTCTGGTGATGTCTAGGAGATAAAAAGGCAGAACAGTACAAAATATTTGAAAAGGAAGAGAGTTTCTCCATACTCTAAAGATTATGTCTGTGGTAGAAGATGTTCTTATATTGCAAAGTACCCATATTGTGCTAGAGGAAGAGACGAGCCTGGACTGCCTACAATCTGTAATAGGGCTGACCTTCACTCCACCCTGCTCTGAGCTGCTGAGCATTCTTCAGCTCTCCTCCTGGAGAGTTTAGGCTCAGAAAGCTTCTTCATATGAGCTGGAAGTTTTACTCTGTGGGTAGTAAGGGTAACTCAGTCTTGGGACTGAGTTTGGGGCCATTCCTGAGTGGGAAGTGGAAAACAGACGCTTAAAAGAGGAGAAAGATGTAATAAAATAAGAATACAGAAAAATTTTCAAGTTTCTTATGTTTCCTGAAACATAAGAAACTGAACTACACAAAGTCTGAAAGATACTAATCTTGTTCTTGCAGAAAGAGGGATCAGAAAACATGATTGGCCATTTGTACCTCCAGCATCTACATTTCTGTGATTCTTAGCTTTGGAATTTGCAGATCAAGATTCAGCTTTAATTTGACTATGACAACGTAATCCCTGGAGTTAAAAGACAATGTCTAAAGGCCATGTCATATGAATAAAGATTCAGCGCAGGGACACTATTATGAAGGCATGTTTCTCATATTAAAAAATGACAGGTGTGCACAGACATGCTTAGTGGGCCAGGCAGTACAAATATTGTTCCTTAAATTTCCACTATCATGAATGTTGATGTAATAATTTAATGATCTGTGCCATGGGTTGCAACTTCAACATTGCTTTTCATTTCCGTGATGTTTTTGCTCATTTTATCACCAGTAGTGGTGTTCAATTTGCATGAAAGGGAACAGTCTCTCCTGGAAGTGCAATTTAGAGATGTAGTAGACCAGAAAACTAATGGCAAGAAACTGACTATCACTGAAAATTGAACAACTGGGACTCAAAATCTAGTGGAAAAGAAAAGATTAGTGGGAAGTAATTTGTTTACATTCAAAAATGCCTAAGACAAAATTGTACCTCCTGGAATTATATATTAAAATAGTTTTATTATGTAGAACAACATATGAAGTTTTGCTTCTGACAAATAAAAATAAATGACTTTTTGTTGTGGATGTGCACTTTATATGCTGTTGCAGATTAGTATATATAAGTGTTTATACAGTCTAGCATGAGGAAGCATTATGTTTTTAAGGAGTTATCAGATTTTACAATAAAAGAGTACTTAATTTTTGCTCATATTGATGAATCACTTACCTAAACTGTAAATGAAGTCTTGGCTGCAAAAGGCTGGCTTGAAAGGTTTAACTCAACTCTAGTGTGGCAATATTACTTTAGCAATATTACTTACTAGCTAGTGTGCACTGCTAGCTAAGTGAGTTGAATAGTCAGTTTTAATTTGAACTTATGCAATATATGGGGAAAAAAAAAGGATTTTTTTTTCTTTTTGTTCCCTCACTTTGCTTATTTGAAACAAAGAAAGTATGTTGTCATCACCAACTTAAACCTTCCTTAAGTTTAGTCTCACTGATTGCTGCTTGGATTCACCAGGAAAGAGAGTTCTACCCACAGCTTATTCACTAATTTCCTTTCACACCCACCACACATCTGCACTTGGGACAACAGGAAATTTTAATTAAGACAAAACCCTTTTGCATGATGATTTCATTTCCAAAATAAATAAAAGCAAGCTGGCAGCAACTCTTTGAAAGGAAGGAGCCTGTATAGACTTTCTGTTGCATATAGTTGGTTGTCTTTTCCATCCATTTTCCTTACGTCTTTTCATTTCTGCTGTGAGTTTTATTGTGCATGAAATTGATAGTTGGCAACCCTGATTAATGCCAGACCTGGCACACAGAGGTGCTGCTGGAAGGACATGGCTGCCTCTCTCCCTTCCCCCTAAATATTGTAGCTACTCCACTGGGTACATTAGCTCCCTGCCACCTACGTCCTCACCCCATTGGCCTACTGGAGGTTAAACACCCATTAAAAAATAGGACTGTGTTTATTTTGCACGTCATTATGTGCTAATCATTTTTAGCAATGTGGTAATTAGCTCACCACTGAGGAGCATGAAGGTCCATTGCAAGAGGGTAATAGCATGAGAAACATGCTAGGGATAAACTGGGATCCTGCACATTATCTGATGTCCATGTGATGATTTGAGGGGGGGGGGGGGGAACAGCTCCTATGACAGTCTTGAGAGAGAGAAAAATCATCATCAGAGTATACCTTGCAATTTAGTGCTCGCTGATGTGTACATGTGGCCTCTAAGCAAAAGCACCATTTTGGGAGTAGTTGCTAATGAGTCCATCTTTGGTGCTGTGTGCATGCACTGTATGTCCAAATTCCACCCTGTTTGCAATTACAGCCAGGGCATTTATTGGGCCTGTTGTGCTATCAAACCTGATAGCTAGCCAGTGCTAGCTCTGCCTTTCAGTACTCACTACATAGGTGAACTGCAGCTGGATCATCAAGGAATCTAAAACAACTGCCAGTTCTGTCATTCATTTCAGTAGGAGAAAATGCTAGTTTTCTACCCCTATGTGGAGTTGGATTAGAAACTGTAAGGCATCTCTTCTGAGCTTTGTCCTGATTTTAATTGAATAAGGAAATTATTCATGAAAAGTAATTTTTCTTCTTACAGACACAAGTCTCATCTGTGCAACAGGCAGGGAATTACAGTTTGTCTTTGGTTGACTTGTGTGTATGTCTTGCTCTAATTAAGCAGTATCACTTGTAGTGGTCAAAGAAAATAAAATCTCATTTCTCAGTCTGATTGATTATTCACTGTGGAAATTGCTGAACTTGAGCCATCCCTCATATGTCACCATCACATATCAGATGACACTTCAGGCTGAAAACGTTAGCAGGTTTCTTGGAAAATGAACAGATTGAATTTCATTACTGTATGCTAAGTGGAATTCATCTTTCATGGACTGATCATACTATGAGGAACTAGGTGTAACACCCTGAATTTAGTCACTCCACAATTATAATGACAAATCTAAAAAGGTGTATTGGCCAATACTGGAGAACAATGACGGACTAGTTTTCATTTTTATGTTGAAGTACATTTGCAAATATTTAGCATGCAAGCCAAATTCTGGAAGAGTTCAAGTTTTACACAGCTGTTCTCTTCAATAAAGTTTTCATTTTGATTCCATTTGGATGATTTGCCTCTTTCTGCCAGTTATTTTCAGTGCTGAAAGCCATCAGTAGAATGATACATGTCCCTGTGGGTGAAATCTCATCCCATAATTCAGTATTTTCACAGCATTACCTAGCTGAGTTATTTTATGATGAGGAAAATGAAACATTGAAAACACTTCCATGTCCATAACACGACTCTTAGAATTGAAATTTAAAAAAGAAGTTAAAGTCCTATATGGCAAGAGCCAGGTCCTGTATTTTCCAGACATTATGTGACTACTTAATCATTCTTTACAATAAGATATGAGATATTAGAAATGTGTTTTGAATATGTGAGAATGTCTCTCTGACTTCCAGTGTTAATGTGTTTCCAGCATCCGGTGTATTGTGTCAATGTAGTTGGAACACAGAATGCACACAATCTCATCACTGTCTCCACAGATGGCAAAATGTGCTCCTGGAGCCTCGACATGCTCTCAACTCCACAGGTGGGTTTGTTTTCACCTATACAGGAGAAAAATCACCTTCAGTACAAGAGGATACCTGCTTAATGGAATATAGCTCCTAAAAGCCAAAACCTCACATCTTATACAAACTAAAACCAGTGGATGCGCTTGAAAGAATACAGCTTGCTTCCAGCAGTCTCTGCTAAAAGCCAAAACCCATTTCCTTTACCACAAATCATATAATTATTATAATACTTTAATACATAGGTCAGTTTCAAGTGAAAATGAAATAATCCATTTTAAAGCATGGTAATTACAGAAGTTGCCTGTGGTATAAATTGTACTTACTCTACAGTGTTGTTTAACAAATATGGACTAGATTGCACTGCCTCTGAACACACCCTAGGCACTATGGGTTTCCAAGGCACAAAGTCTGAAAGCTTACTTTGTTGCCTGCTTTCAGTATTTAAAAGAAAAAAAAAAAACCAACAATGCAAATCAAAAATTTTAGAGCCACCCCCCCCCCCCCCCGTCTGGAATGTTTGTTGCTATTGTTTTCTCTTCCCCCTCCTACCCCCTCTTTGTATCAGAAATGAAAGGAAGTCCAGGAAAATTGTCCAAACCACTTGTGATTATAATAATGGAAACTAAACAAAGATTCTGGTGCTGAAGAGGCCCTATGGAAAGTGTTATCTTTCAGAGGAGTAGTACATTTGTACATTTTCTGTTCCAGCATATCACTGTTTTCTTTATAAATATCATAGGATCTGATCTTGTTTGAAAATGCTGACTAGGAACTCCTTTTAATGATTCCATTAATCATCCATTAATTATGCATTAATGTGCAATTACTCTTGAGTTATTTGCTTTTTAGTGTTGACACAAGACGTGGGACTCCTCTCCTCTTTAGCCATCTAAAGGTCCATGTCAAGTGCAAGCTAGTCATTTGAGTTTCTTTTACATTTAATGTAGAGAGAAACCAGCACTTCTAGAAGACAACTCAGCCCATCCCAGTGTGAAATATCACTTTAGATATTCTAGGGTACAGAACTGTACTTACCTCTTAGGATATAAGTTGCTTCTGGAACTCATCCATCTAATTCCCTACTCAGAGTGAAGCCATCTTCAAAGTTTGATCATGTTCCTCGTGTTCCTCATAGACATTATGGGTCTGGTTGTTATGTCCTGGTACTATGAAAAACTGCTGCAGTTCTGGAAAAGAAGGGGCATCTAAATTGGCGCAGACATCTGTGTTTAGGAACTTGAATCCTTTGCCCCATTTCTCACTTAAATGTAGAGAAGAGAAATCCTTGTGTGTTTACATACTGGAATACTGAATTTTCAAGCAGAGATTTGTGAACATTTCAGTTTCAGAACTTCATCATTCAGATGGAATTTCTCAGATTCAAAACTAGCTTTCAGCAAGGATGGGAACACACCCCGTGTTACACTGAAATTCAGTGCATGGCTCATGGTGATCTTAAAAAGAAGGACATGGGGCTTGATGTCAAGCTGCATATCTTAGCTTTACATTGAGTGGAGCAATATTGCTGATTTGCATTGGTTTGAAACTTTCCAAAGACACAGATCCAGAGCACTCATGTACAGCCATGGTGTAGGCTCTGGAGGAGATTCCACCGCAATATCTGGCCATAACCAAAGACACTAAACAATGATCTTACCCCGGAAGATTTCTGTAGAAATATATGGTCCGCAGGTGCTCTGCCAATGCATTTTCCAGGTCTTATTTTTCCCTTTTAATAGAAGCAAATATATGTGAAAGTAAAATATAAATCAAGCAAAAGTATTTCTCTATGGATTTGCAGCCCTCTCCTCCCATAAGGACACCCACTTTCTTCAGCTACAGCAAAAACCCCTCCTGATAAAAATGCTATAATCTTTAGCCCAAGAAGAATAGCAGCTTAGGCATTTAAATGTAGAAAGCACACACACTTATACAGATGAAAATGAAAATTATTAAATCATTCAGGCCCTTTGTGGGATTCTTGGGTTACACCATTTAGGCTGCACAACCAGAAAGTTTAGAGTTGTGCAAAATCTGCTCGAAACATATGCATCTTGCAGCCGCCACAAACTGTTCATGCTGGTTGTATTTGAAATATACAAAAATGAGTATGCTGATTTACTTTGAAATATGGCTAGAAAATGAAATTATGCTTGCTGGTTTGTAGCTTGATGGTGGGATCCAGAGAAAATATTTATGATTAGCTCAGAAAATCTCTGAAGAACACTGTTTAGAATAGCAGTAGTGATATGACGCTGACTTCTGAATTTTGTTCTGCATAGGGACAAATGTCACTGTCTGATAAATGCCTCAGGTGCATGTGATATTACATGTGTTTCCTGACAAACAACTGATTTTAAAAAATGTTTGTAAGAAGAAGGGTATTTTTTATTAGAGCCTGGGGCTGGCAAGTATAGCCATTAAGGTATTATCTTTAGTTTCTGCACCATTAGATTTTAAATTCTCACCTGTCATCTCTGCCTGATTTAAGATGATGTTCCAGAGACCAGTGCCTTGCAGCCGCTCTGAAACATCTGACACAGCATCAGGGATGGCAGGAGCAGTGCATCCTGGTTGTGACATTGCATCTTCTTCTATTGTCCATCACAAAACCCTTAATTCTATGACTGGATTAGATGATTCCTTCTTCTTTTCTTGGTACTCTGTGTAACATTTTAAAATGAATTAGCAAAACAAACAAAACAACAACAACAAAAAAACGACCCAAACAGAAGGACTGCTGCAGAGTAATAACAAAGACCTGTTTTGATAGGAGAGCATGGAGCTGGTGTACAACAAGTCCAAACCAGTGGCGGTTACAGGAATGGCTTTCCCAACCGGAGATGTCAATAACTTTGTTGTTGGCAGTGAAGAGGGAACAGTCTACACAGCCTGTCGTCATGGAAGGTGATTTTAAGCTTTTTGTACTTCTGTAACATTGTCTGTGCTGGCATGAGGTAGCCATGTGTGTGGAGTGTGTTTAGTTTTTTTCCCTTGGATGAGCAGCATCTGTGCTGGGACAGGACTAGGATGGGAGCAGCCCAGCTTCATGCGTCTGTGTTACTGCCACGCACTGCGTGCTTGGCCCACCTCTCTGTGTAGTCTGTGGGGAGCACTAACTGCTGGAAGGGTTGACTTCTCTTGCCTTTTTGAGACATCCGCTTGAAGAAGAGATGATTGGCACCTTGGAAATGCCTTTTTCTCAGCCGTGATTATAACGGAAGCCTAGAGTGCTGACTGAGGTGTAGATGTGTCAAGGCAGGTTGTATCAGGCCCTAGGAGACAGTTTTGTTGCACGGTAATCAAACTTATACCACTTGTAAGAAATGGTAATCTCCTTTATTTTTTACCATTTTCAGTTTCATCTTCAATCTCCACAGGCAGATTGCAAAGAAAAGAAGGATGCCACAGATATGTCTGTGTGTGAGAAGGAGAGCATATGAAGCCCCGATGCATGGGCAGAGCTTGTCTGGCTTGCCCACGCAGGCTATTAGTACAAGACCTGATGAAATGACCTGGGAAAAGCTTAGTTGGACAAATACTTTCAAGTAGCATTTGGAATGATAGTTGAAACACTGTTTTTCCAAGTGTAAGATGCACCTCCTAATGACAAGGGTCTGACTGCTATGTGGTTAAACGCTGATCTTTCCACTTCTAAGGCTAGGAAAATGCAAATTCACTTCCATAATTTAAACAGGTTCCTTATTTTTCACCCTGTAAACTTTCTAAGGCTGCAGTTAAGAGCAAGGAACTCTCACCACAGGCCTCTGCAGAGATCAATTCCTTGTGTTTGGTACAGTAATCTGCAGGGTGCTTGTGTGCTCTCAGCTTCTGGTAGCAGTTTCATCCTCTGGGATGCTTGAGTGGCTTCTGTAAAGAGCAGGCTATTTCAGTGATAGATCTAAAGCTGACCTCCCACTTCAGTAGTCTTCAGATTCATGTTACCACAGTCCGTTTTCAGGGACAAAATATACATTGACAATGGTTTAACAGTGTTTTAAGATTGTAAGGCTTCTATTACACATTCTTAATATTGTACAGTCACAGTTTTACATATATTTTCTTCAAAATGATTTTTATTTAAAATGTTTTTTTACTTTACTCTGCTGACTACATTGCAATACTGTGTCTGTTCAGGCATTATGCTGGTAGGCTGTGTGGTGGCTGCTGGCCTGAATTAGTTTTTGGCTGCTGGGATAAATGGAGCATGCCCAAGGGCATTTCTCACTTCTGATCTTTCAGATGTGCCTGGTTTGTTCCTCACAAAAGAAAGACAACTGATTTGGCGTCATTTGCTTACAGGATGAGCAAAGCTGCCCACTTTCTTACCCAGATTTGTTCTTTTCTTTCCTATTCTAGCCCCACTCTGATGAAATGCATATCTTCCTATCTTCAGAATGACTGCAATACCTGCTCGTGTGAGCAGTCCCTTCACATTTTGTGAAAAAGGATTTGCTTCCTTAGGGACATGACTGACTGCTGTGCAAAGTTATTTTAAATATTTGAGAGAAAAAGAATTGCAAATGATATGTCATTAGCAACTTCGCATTTTCATTTTAATGGTTATTCCTCGTAATAATAGTGTACTCAGATGTATACGATGTAGTATAATTATAATTTCTAATTACTTTATAATTATACATACGTGTTATTTCAAGCTACAGTAGTAGACAGTGTATGTAGAAGTCAGTAATGCGGGTCTTCAGAAGGAAGAGGAGCTGTCTCCCTGTGCTGGATCCTGAGCACTAAATGTGCCCGCAGCAGTGAGCTGCTGCAGGAAAGGCCTTGCTGAAGGGAAAGAACTTTGCAGGTTAAATGGAGCCTTAGCAGGAAACAGGATTCTAAGAGTAAAAGAAAATGATGTTAAAACACCACATGTTAACTCACATTCTGAATGTAAATGTCTCTTCTTCCTGCAGTAAGGCCGGCATTGGTGAAATTTTTGAAGGCCACCAAGGACCTGTCACAGGAATCAATTGCCACATGGCAGTGGGCTCAATTGACTTTTCCCATCTCTTTGTCACATCATCATTTGACTGGACAGTGAAGCTGTGGACCACAAAGGTGAGAAAATCAAGCTGGAATGTGATTGGTAATGCTACTTGTGAAAATGCCGTTGTCAGAAATGTTTCACTTAGAACTGATTCACTGAAAGTCTGTGCTTAGAAGAAGTGTAGCATTAAAATTGTAAGTGAAATGCATACCCAGTGTAATTATGTCAGCCATCTTTGCCAAGGAGCCTACGCTATAAAGGTAGTTTCAGCTGGCTTGCTCTTCAGTATTAACCTCAGTGTTGAGCAGTTTCACTAGGAAAGGAGAATAGGATGTATCGTAGTAGCAGTCTCAAACAGTTCATCTAGCACTCCTTGTGCAGGCTGAATTGCAAGGCTAATACGGTGCTCCATGACAACACAACAGCAGGAACACTTTCTTCTGATGAAGCAACAGGGAGGCACGTGTACGACAGTGCAATCAATATCCTTCAAGAAAATCATTGCTGTAGGAGGCTATGGTAGCTAGAAAATATAACTCATCCCTGTGACATTAGACACCAATGGCTAGGAGCGGGGAGGAAATACACGCTGCTACATTCATGACTTTTGTGAATCTCTTGCTGACTGCTCTGTGGATGTGTCTATGTCACCTCTTACCTGGTGAACAGTGGAAATGAGTACCCAGGCTTGTAGAGCTTTGAATACTCACACTCCATCTAAGTATGTGTAAATATAGGCTAATGACATAGTGACTAAAAACTGCAGGACAGTTTAAACAGATCAACCTCACTGTGCAGCCTGAGTGGAATAACAGAAGCGAAATACCTAACATTTAAGTCATCTAAACAGTTACTTTTGTCATACATCAGAACAGAGAACTGCATTTCAAACACCGGGCTTCTGTCTTCATCATTTCTTTATGTCTGTGTTTGGTTCACATCTTGAGCTGTATCCAACAGAGCTCCAGTGCTGGAAGTTGACCCCAATCAGGAAATATCTCTGTGTGTGTTCCTCAAAGGCATCAGGGCTTGGAGATGCTGCAACAGATGCACAGCAAATGTAAACACAAAATTGATCAGAAGGAATCATGTGGCTGCCTTGTTCTGGAAACAGAAGCATGGTTACCTAGATGATAACTTGAATCAGCCTCTGTGGTGGCTTGAAAATGCATTTGTTAATAGCTTGATCCAGTGCGTATGCTAATTAATAGGTACGTTTGCATGATGAGCAATGATCACAGCTGACAGTTTTGTTTGAGCATTACAGGTTTTGAGCACTGCATACTTGATGAGAGGAGGGTACATGATTTACCTGATTCTCACCAGAAACAGCAGTGAATCCAGCCTTAACCTATGCAAAAGTGATAGTGAAGGCTGGTTATGGGCAGGCTGGGATGAATCTGGGATCAGTCCTAGGTGGTAAATATTAGAGAGGGCTGCAGGATAATTCAGTGATAGAGAGCTTCCTCAGGCTGATGAGTCTGGTGTCTGAGATGAGGGTATGCTGTGCAGTGGCAATGGTGGCAAGAGTGTATCAGATGGCTGAAGCTGAAGTAAGAGGAAAAGAATTTGTGGGTACTGGGTAGAAAATGAAATGTAGGTACTGAAATACCTGCATTCCAAATATACATGTCCAGAAAAGTTTGGCATAAGTATCAGACCCTCAGCTTGAGGCTGAATATTTCACTAAGGATCTCATCCTTCTGCAGTGTAGAGGAAATTATATTAAGCTATGAGAAGGCATGGTTTTTTATTTTGAATGCCTGGGTTTTTGGAAGTTCATGACAACATTAACACAGCATATTTTGGACATAAAGACACTGCAGTTAGCAGTACATAGTAATCCTTGTGGAATACTTCATTGCCAAAACGGTTAGGTCAGATGCTGTTCAATTCAGTCAGTTTTCAAAGAACTAAGCAATTTAAGTTTTTAATACCTCATCTGGCAAGATGGACTTCCTGAGAAAGCTACTTGACCTAGCTGATGGGAGCAGGGATGTGCATGTGACACCCTGCGGCACAGCTATGAGCTGGAAACAGTATTGCTGTACTGGATCCATTGGTTTCTCCTGGAGCAGATCTGAGCAGCAATAGCAACTCTAGGCTGCTGCACTGCTAGCCTCTGTGTTGTGCAGAACTACTCTGAGGTTCTGGACAATTTTGTGAAATGTAATGTTTTCATTTTCTTCCAATCTGTCTATTGTAGAAATTTCTTTCCATATTATCTCTTGACTGTAGTGAGAACATACTTCGGGCTCTCTTTGTTCCATTCCCATAGACAGGAGCCAGTCCATCACTAGATATTGAGCAAATACCTCAACATTTTTGATTATCTGAAAAAAATAGCCTATTAATATGAAAATTTGAGTGATATGGCTGGTTTATGAGAGTTTATTCAGACTTCTTTATTATTACTATTATGCCTTTGATTTCTTATTTGCAAATGTAATCCCTCTATCAGCATACAAAGCTGTATCGCTTTCTGGCTCCTACCAGTGATGTCTACCTAATCCTGTGCACATTGTCCTCTTCTGTTGTGAAATTCAATTCCTTTCTGTTTCACAGGTTCAGAGTCAATGTCCAATTGAAAAGTGAACCGTAAAAGCTCTGTGTTTATATTGCCTATTGAGTAGTGTAGCACCCTGGGGTGCTTACAAGAAAGGCACTTTCATAGCAGGCATTTGACTGACAGATTGAAAGCCCTGCCTCCCTTAAAAACTTTGCATTGACATTTTATAATCTGTTCTTGCAGTTAACACATTTTTCATCCCAACACAGTTCAACCAGGTGACTGAGAGTAAGGTTTCTACTGAAGAATGAAGGTATGGTAGATAACACTAATAAAGGGTTCCCATTATCACTCATCATATTAGCCAATAATTAGATCCTTGGGTAAATAGTAAGCAACCAGAAGCAGTAGAAAAACAAAAATGTAATTTGCGAAGATAGCCACTTGATAGCCAGGGCATTACCTGGTTCCTGATGAAGTCAATAGAACTTTCAGTTTGAATTCGTGCTACACCACATAAGCAAGTCTTGATGCAGAGCCGTCAAAGGAAAGTCCTGATGGGAGATGTCTGTGGAGCTCTTCCCTACAATGCTTTGAAGAGGTAACGTGCTAAGTGGAAATACTAAGTGTTGCTAATTAATTAAGCACTAATCCTCATGAACAAATAGCATGAGGTTAAATAATGAAATGTAAGTATTATTACAGCAATTGCTGTGCGGAGTGGGAATTTTTAGATATTGTGTCAAGGGACAGGAGGTAGCTTGGAACTGTTAAAGCATAGCAAAACAAGCAAGTTTCAGCTAGTGCTTAGAAAATGACACATTTGCTACTGAGAGAGTTAAATAACAGTCCAGTTAAAGAGATAGCTTGTGTTAGTTTTTCCATCCTTCACATATCTCTTTTATCCTTCCATTGATGGTAGATACTAATGACTGAGTTTTTCTCCTCTCACATCTAATATCTAAGCCATGCTCAGATGGACAGCTAACTAAAAGACAGATTGGAATTACAGTAACAGTACTGCTGTATCCCTATCCAAGCTTCCCTTTTTCTTGCCTAATGTTAAGAAATGATGGCGAGTGCCATAATCAGGCAGACAGAGATGAGCAGACTGGTAGTAGAACCACTGCAAAACCACCAGCAAGGACTAGTTGAGTCAGAGGGCTTGTGTGCTTTCCTATACTACTTTTGTGTCCCTTCTCAGTTTTGCCTGACAGGCATGTGCATCAGTGGTAGCACCCTTCCTAGTCTCTCCCCTTTGTCTTCTCGTTCGTAAGCTCCTCTCTTTTGGTGTCTTCTGTCCCAGTCTGCAGTCTGTTGTGCTTTTTGAGAAACCATATTTTTGAGAAACCAAATTCATGTTTCTGGTCTATGTACTTTATGTAAATTTCTGTATCTTCTCTAACTTTTCTGTTCACTCATTATCGTGGTATGAATCAGTCCTCCTGACACTTGGAATAAATGATTCTAACTTGTACCTTCATACCTTCCTACCAGCATCAGGCTTCAAATACCATTGCTCTTAATTTGATCGTTTAACACCATTTCCTTGGAGGTCAAGCAGAAACCTCTCACTAGAATGTAAAGAAGCAAGTGTGGTTTTGTTGTGAAAGATAAGTAGGAATTCTACCTCTAACTCCTAACCTTTCCCTAAAAAGCCTGGCTAATAGGAACTGTTGGGATCAGCTTGATAGAACTTACTGTGACGAACAATAGTGCAGCAGAATGAATCAGCGCATTACATGACTGTGTGGATTAGTCACTAAGAAAACAATTCACTCACAAACAGGCAATTTTTGAGCTCTACAGGGTCAAGTTGTCACTTTTTGAAGATTAAGAGTTACTATTTTTTGCATTACAAATACCACATATCAAGGTATCTGGATCCTGGATCAGATATTTTCTAGTATAATTTCAATTGCATTCAGTGTGCATGTTTTGTGTTACAGATAGCACTGCCTGAAGTTAAAGATCCATGTAGAGATATCATCGAATACTGTTCACGATAAAAGGACAGTAAACTTAGTGAACTATTGCAACAACTTGGTATATTCTTCCTCATGAAAATTGTTTTAACCGTAATTGAAAATGGTGGAATTAATGACTTGATACAGTCAAGTTCCATGGTGATTAGAATGGATCGCTGATTAGAGACACTAATGTCAGTGGTTAACAGTAAGGGTTATTTCCTCATCTTAGGGAAGATGTTCCTCTTCCACTGAATGTGCAATTATTAACAAAGAGCTCCGTGAGAATGTTCTGTAAGACCGTGGTTTGGCACCGAGCCATGCTGCAAAGGACTGCCTGAGTAAGGTTGAACATGTGTCTTCCCTAAGGGAAGGAAGTGCTGTGATGATCTTCCCATTTTGCTCAGAGCTGTATCTTGTGTCTATGAACAACTTCGGATTCATTGAAAGTAGGATCTTCTTGGAGTAAAGCTTTGATTTTAATGTGCTGACGCTTCCTGATGAAAACCAGTTCTGTCCAGCTGGGGCCAGCCCTGCTTCTTCAGTTTGTAACAGGAGCAGAGTGGTTTCTGCCAGCAGGATGGACTGGTGAAAT